CGGGCACGCCTGGGGGGTGGTGGGTTCTGAGGGTGAGCGTGGGGCTGTGGGGCAGGGTGTGGGGCTGGGCTTAGGATGCAGTAATGGGGCAGGGCCCAGGCCTGGCTGTGGGGCAGGGTAGGGCAGAGTGTGAGGGCGTGGGACGGTGTGTGGCCATGGGTTGTGGGGCTGGGGCATGAGGCTGCGGTGCGGAGCATGGCTGTGGAGCAGGGTGTGGGGGAGTGGGCAGGGGCCCCAGCTGGGACCTGGGCATTGAAAGGGGGAATGAGGACTTGGGGCTGTGGGGTAGGTGTGGGGCGGAAGAGAGGGTGAGGCAGAAGTGGGTGTGGGTAGATGTTACAAGCTGGAGTGAAAGCAGAGTTGTGGGGTCTGTGGGGTGAGCCAGTGTTTTAGATGGTATGGGGTGGGATTGAAGGTGTTGAGTCTACTGTTGGTGCCAGGGAATGGTGAATGGGTCTTTGGGGTGGGGGATCTGTGAGCTGATGGGAATATGAGTCTGCAGGCCCTGGCACTGGAGGTGTGGGGTGCACTGGGAGCAGCTGTGGGTGGTACTGGGTATGGTGGCCGTGGCTGGGTGGCAGAGAAGGCACCAGTGAGAACGGAGCTCCTGGCCTTGCTGAGATGCTGTGGGAGATGACTGATGCACTGGCTTCACTGGCCCCTGCTTCTAGGGCCCAGTCTCTGACTGTCCTCGCTGTGGTTTCTCCTCCTTTTCTGGCAGGGCTTGAGGCATTTGGTTTCCTTGGATAATTTGTCTTTCTGCTTGGAGCAGCAATTTGGTGACTTCGTTACATTAGGGAATTTGCAGCTTCAGGAATGCAGCTTTCTAAGGATAAGGGAGCATGGTTGTGTTTCTAGACAGTGACTTTCGCATGTTTTGGAAAGGAGTTGAGAGAGCAGAGAAGGACTATGTAGGTTACATTACACAGGGGTAGCTTATAGACCTTTCTCAAGACTGATGGATTGTGAACCGATCCATGGTATCTTGGTGATTGAGATGAACTCACAAAATGGGAGGGTAACCCTGCGGTCCATGTAACACAG